CCACGTCATCATTTACCCAGAATGCTTTGTGTGGAAATAAAATGGCTCCGTCTGTGTTAAAATATATTTTTGAAATCTAGTTTAAAAATGATAAAAACTAAACAGCCTACAGTATTTTTTACAGTCTTTATTTTACAGTTAAAATAAAGATTTACCAAATAAAGTCTAATGTTAATCATGGTTCACTTTAAAGTCTGGTTTTCAGCTTCATAAAAATACAGATTTTATGTTTTATTGATACCAAGATGTTAATAAAATGTTCTTCAAATGGATGGAAAATGCAGAGATTTAAGTGGAACTTTTACATTTTTTTCTAAAGGGGTAAACTCATGGACCCCCCTAGAACTGCTTCACTCCACAGTTGCTGGTTAACATGAACAGCTGTTTCTCAGGATGTAAGCAGAAAACTTATTCTTTCAAATTAAATGTATTAACTATTTTATTTAGACAACATGATTTCTAAAGATACAGAATAATATCTAAACAAAACTTAAATTTCGTGTGGCAATGAGATTTAGAAACTTGCATGAAGGGTGCCGCCTAAAATTTTGTTTAGGGCACCAAAAACAAAAAGTACAAATAAAAAAAAACACAGATCCTGTCACTACCCAGACTTCTGACTTGTTTTATGAAGCAAAACAGAAAGAATTAAATGTTTGCATCAAAAATCACGTGAATCATAAACTGGTGTTACTGAGCATGCTGGTCTCCTGTGGCCACACCCCTTCATCCAGCCCCTCCCCTCACTTCCTGCTCCCCTACGTCTGATGCTGATGGAAAGTAGGACATGTGAGTGTTTCCATCACTCCTCACACACCCGAGCGGAAGTGTGTGTTCCAATCCGTCCCGCCTGCCGTCCCTCTGATGTAACAGCACTCTGATTCATTCTGGAGTGAACGCACTCGCTCCAGCCCAACAACGTGACCATATAAGGACTGCAGCCATGCACGTCTCCATCACAAACACGCACCAGCGCTTCCCTCGTGGGCTCCGGTGTCGAAACAGGAAGTTCTGAATGAACTGATCTCACTTTTTTCTTTTTTTCAAAGCAGACGTGTGAAGTGGTGTTAATCCACTTTCATCGTGACGACATGCTGCTTCTTATCCCGACCTGCTTACACACACACACACACACACACACACACACACACACACACACACACAC